TAAAAATCAAGCTATGACAAAAAAAGGAAGAAGTGAGAGAAGACAAGACCAACTTGATATGGACAGTGAAATGAGTACCTTCAAAACTTACGGGTCTTTCTAACCTCTGTTCGAGAAAGTGTTTTGAAGGCCAGCCTAGTTTTGTGGCTTTCGATTGCAAAGGAACCAGGTTGGCCGAAGACCAAACGTCCTGTCTGCTTCCTTTCCTGTTTCAGTAGCTGCCTGCCGCTCGGATCTGAGCGGCCCGGGTGGGGGGGTTTTATTTATTTTTTTTTGCAATGAGATATTGTCAACATCCTGGTTTGTTTCGCTTCTAGTGTTTCTTCCTGCTGCGTAGAATGTGGCGTAACTTTGGGGCTGTCATAGATGCTATACGGAGAGAGAATTCCCTGGAATGCGTCACTGGGACAAACAAATGCCCCAGACCTGGTAAACATTAGAATAATGCAAAAGAAAGATATTGAAAAATAGTTGCAAGAATAGCGGGGTTGGGTGTGTGGGGTTGGCAAAGAGGATAAGGGAATCTGACAGGAGCCTTTTCATTTTCTCCTTTCAGAGCCGAGAGCTGTCATTTCCCTTTTCTACTTCAGCAAATGCAAAACAATCAATCTTAGTGGATATGGATCCCTACGGTTATGATCTAAGCTCCTGCCAGCGTAAGGATACATTGACCTGACTTCCCGTCACATCAGTGGAGTTTGAGAACGTCATCGATCCAGAGTGAAGGGCAGGCATTGTCCCCTCTTTCTCCTGAGATCCAAGGCGTTTTCCTCTTCTCAACATCACCTGATTATAGGCATCGGGCAAAGACAATCCAGCGTGGTCTAAAGATCTGTCTAAATGAGGAAGAGGAAAAAGCACTATCAAGATTTAAATCGGGCTGAAGGTGAGACAGGGTTGGTGTGATTGGGGAAAGACTGGAGTTCCCAGCCTGTGCTGGTAACTCTGCAAATCATTTCTGAGCAAAGGTGACAGCGTGTGTAAGCCCAGGCGGTGCAAGTCACACGACAGAAACGAAAGGAAACGCCTGGGAGTTACACAGCGAAGGTAAAGGTCTGGCAGAAAGGAAGGCTACAGAAGTGGTGCTTATTCAGCAGACCCCTTTACTCCTTTCCCCATCCTCACATTGCCTAAACCAGGGGGGTTCCCAAACTTGGCAACTTTAAGACGCATGGACTTCAATTCCACTTAACATGGCTGGCAGGGGAAATCATGGGAGCTTGTCTGCCCACGCGCCTTAAAGTTGCCAAGTTTGGGAACCCCCTGCTCTAAACCCCAGCTCTGCACCACTTCCTGAAATGAATCTGTGGAGCTTCAGGCAGAACATGAGACTTTACAGAGAACTGCTTGTTTACTACAGAAAGAAGAAAGATCTGTGGGGATCTCATGCTGCTCTCAAACCACATATTGTCTGCTTGGGGTCAGAAAGCTTTGAGATCAGTGGCTTGATAGAGCCTTAGTGAGATGCTTCAAAGGAATATTTGTATGCTTGGTGAGACACAAGATGCCAAGAGTTTTGCTGCCAGCTTTTAAGAAGAATGTTAAAATTGGCATCCTGAGTCACACACAATATGAAGCCATATCTAGGCACCCTGATGTTCCCTCCGGTGTTTTGGATATCAACTCCAAGAGCTAAAGCCCATGATGGCGAACCTATGGCATACATGCCACAAGACAAGTGGCATGCAGAGCCCTCTCTGTAGGCATATGAGCCGCCAGCCAGCTCAGCTCCACAGCTCATGCTCATGTACCTCCTGCCAGCCAGCTGATTTTCGGGTCTCTGATTTTTGAAAGACACACATGCATCTGCAGGGGGCTGCATGTGCATAGAGGGGACTGGGGGGGGGGGGTGCGGCGACCCCCCCCATTTTTTATTTCAGGAGGCTTCAGGGAGGCCTGCTAGGCCCAAAACAGGGCGCAGGAGGGTCGCACACAGGTGCAGGGGGGGCACGAGGAGGTTGTGCACATGCGTGGAGGGAGTGTGAGGGGGTGTACATGCATGCGCAGGGGGCGGGGCACATTGCATTATGGGTGTGGCCACACACACATGCGTGCTGTTGTGCATGCACGTGCTATTTTGGCACACAAGGAGAAAAAGGTTAGCTATCACTGGCTTAAGCCATTGTAGCCAAAACATGGAGAATGGTTTTTAGCCCCAAACTTCATGTAGGGACAAGATTGTTTATTTCTTCCATTAACCCCTGGTGTGGTTTGTTTGCTTCTAATGTTTTGTGCCTTGAATGTGTGAATCAAGGCATAGCAGCCTTGAACAAACTATGGTTTTAGCATTTGTGTTTGGACATGTGAATGCAGCCAAAGTGTAAAGTTAGAAAGCAGAAAATGAAATAAGGTGCATTCAAGATGTTTTCAGCTGGATGAGAAAAAAGCAGTAAAGAGACTTCAAAGGTGGTATTCTGACCAGTTCTGGCGAACCGGTAGCAGAAATTTTGAGTAGTTTGGAGAACCAGTAAATACCACTTCTGACTGGCCCCGTCCCCCATCTATTCTCTGCCTCCTGAGTCCCACCTGAGCAGGAGGAAATGGGGATTTTGCAGTACCCTTCCCCTGGCATCCCCACCAAGCCACACCCACAGAACCCATAGTAAAAAAAATTGAATCCCACCACTGAGATATTTGTATCTGGTATGAAAGCAAAATCCTGTTTCACCAGAAGTGCTTGATGTTGCTTATAGTAGAAGCTAGCATGGAGACATCAACAAGTTTGATCTGGGTTCTCAAATCAATTTCAGTAAAGCTCCCAGATCTGAGCTGCATGTTTCCATGCCACCAGATTAATTGATTGATTCTATTTTCGATTCCATAATGACTCTGGTTTACAAAAAAGCACAGAAGAAAAAAATATCAAGAAAGAGAGTTGACTGAAAGACAGACCAAGCAACAAAAAGACCAAACTGAAGGGTCTCCAATAATCTACTGAGCCCAAGAATAGCCAGGTCTTCCTTCAGCCATTTGCAGAAAGATCAAAGTGTAGGAGCAGTATGAATCAACAGGGAATATTGCTCCACAAGCTGGAGCCATCTCTACGGGGATACATTTCCTAGGTCCAGTGGTGGGTTTCAAAAATTGTTCGAACCTACTCTGTGGGTGTGGCCTCCTTTGTGGGGGTGGCTTGCCACCCATGTGACCGGATGGGAGTGGCTT